TGTTCTGGCCCCACTGCTGGACCCCCTGATGGCACCTGGTATTTCTGCCCACTGTGTGACAGAGTGTTGGACTGGATGGGCCACTGGCCTGATCCAACATTGGCTTCTCTTATGTTCTTATAAAAGGGAATTGGATAAACATCTGGAACAGAGGTCCATCAGTGGCTGTTAGCCACAAGATAGAAGAAGAAGAAGAAGAGATTGGATTTATACCCCGCCCTTCACTACCCAAAGGTGTCTCAGAGCGGCTTACAAACGCCTTTCCCTTCCCCTCCCCACAACAGCCACCCTGTGAGGTAGGTGGGGCTGAGAGAGCTCTGACAGAAACTGCTCTTTTTCAAGGACAGCTCTTATCAGAACTATGGCTTGCCCAAGGTCATCCAGCCAGGTGCAAGTGGAGGAGTGGGGAATCAAACCCGTTTCTCCCAGATTAGAGCCCACACACTTAACCACTACACCAAACTGGCTCTCAGTCTGGGGCAAGGGATGCTCTGTATTCTTGGTGCTTGGGGGGGGCAACTGTGGGAGGGGCTTCTAGTGTCCTGGCCCCACTGCTGGACCTCCTGATGGCCCCTGAGTTTTGGCCCCTGTGTGACAGACTGGATGGGCCACTGGCCTGATCCAACATTGGCTTCTCTTACATTCTTGTACAGGGATTTATCCCACCCAAGCTGCCACCATGTACAGGATTACGCCCCTCAAGCCAGTCCAGGGGTGAGAGGTAATCCTGTACTTTTACAGTAGTTTAAACAACAACCCACGAGATGGTCTAAACCCTCTCTAGTTTCAGAACAGTATGCCACCAGGACCTCTACATTAGTTCCCCCAACCTGAGATTAGAGGTTCAAACTCTCAGTTGGTATCTGGAACTTAACACATTAGCAACTCACTCAGAGATGCACACTTTTACTCTTACGAAGGTAGCTTAAATGGTGAGCAGAAGGCTACAAGATTTAGGCTTGGAACTCAGGTACAACATCAGAGACCATTTAACAATCAGAATAATTTTTATTCAATACAGAGCATAGCACAGACTACCAGAGTTTACCAAAATAACAAGCCTAAGGCGATTTGCCTTAACTACACAGTAAAAGATACATATTTACCAAGTTCAGGAGCATCCAAACAGTCCACGGGATTTTGAAGGCAAAATCCATCTTTGCACTCCATGTGCTTTAAGTCACAAAGCAGTCCTTTGTCTCTTCAAAGGACAGCATTTCCGGGTGCAATCAAACAAGCACAGAGCAGGAACAGAGAAGAGAAGAGACTCTCTCTCATTGGGATTGAACAGTTGTAGCCCAATTCCATTCATGATCAGCTGTGGCCATACAGCCAATCACGAGTGGACATAGGTGTGTCCAATTGTTGGTTGCCATAGCTGCAGCACAGGAATGGCTAGAAGTTTGGAAACTCCTCCTGCAGTCAGGTGACCCAGCTTCTAGCTACTTCATTTAGTATGTGACTTGTCGCATGCGAGGCAGAGGCATCAGGTCTGCCTCTTCCCTTAGAGGTGTGAAAGAATGTGTGGTTATATGGCATGATTATAAAGTTTCTCTGGAAACAAGACACAGCATGTTATCAGAAAGACATCACAGGAGAAGGCATGGATTTTTAGAAATCAACATTTCTATACAGTTCTTACAACACGTACACATTTTTCTCCTTAATCCCATAGCAAGAAGCTTCCTTCCCACTTTGTGATAAGAACATCAGAGAAGCCAATGTTGGATCAGGCCAGTGGCCCATCCAGTCTATCACATGGGGGCCAAAACTCACGGGTCATCAGGAGGTCCACTAATGGGGCCAGAACACCAGAAATCCCCCCACTTTTGCCCCCCAAGCGCCAAGAAGACAGAGCATCACTGCCCCAGACAGAGTGTTCCCTCTGTACCTCGTGGCCAAGAGCCACTGATGGACCTCTGCTCCACATGTTGACCCAATCCCCTCATGAAGCTGTTTGTGCTCGTAGCCGCCACCGCTTCTTGTGGCAGTGAATGCCATGTGTTAATTACTCTTTGGGCAAAAGCCCCATCTGGCCCTCCCGCCCCCTTTCTGTAAGCACTCGGTGGGCACTGGGGAAACTGTCTGCAAATGAGGTTGCACCCATGGGCACCGCATTGCGGACCCCTCTTCTGGGAGTAGTGCGGGGCTCGAATGTTACGGGGGTCTAGTAAGCCCTTGCCGGGTGCTTCTCTCTCTCACAGTGACCAAAAATTCTACTTTGTGAGCTCCTGGCATTAAAGTTGTGAGCGAGCAACTTGGCTGCTACATAAATTACTTAGCTCTGGAACTATCCTTCCTGAGCTAAGACAAAAAGGTGTGAGCCGGAGGCTAAAAACCTGGGAGCTAGCTCACACCAACTCAGCTTAGAGGGAACACTGGTTGCAACCAATGCTCCCTCTAAGCTGTGGAGTCTTGTGACCAAAAATTCTACTTTGTGAGCTCCTGGCATTAAAGTTGTGAGCGAGCAACTTGGCTGCTACATAAATTACTTAGCTCTGGAACTATCCTTCCTGAGCTAAGACAAAAAGGTGTGAGCCGGAGGCTAAAAACCTGGGAGCTAGCTCACACCAACTCAGCTTAGAGGGAACACTGGTTGCAACCAATGCTCCCTCTAAGCTGTGGAGTCTTGTGACCAAAAATTCTACTTTGTGAGCTCCTGGCATTAAAGTTGTGAGCGAGCAACTTGGCTGCTACATAAATTACTTAGCTCTGGAACTATCCTTCCTGAGCTAAGACCAAACTCTGTGAGCTGGAGGCTAAAAAACTGTGAACTAGCTCACACCAGCTCAGCTTAGAGGCAACACTGGTTGCAAGCAATGCTCCCTCTCTAAGCTGTGGAGCCTTGTTACCAGTGTTCCCTCTGAGTTAGTGTGAGCTAGCTCACAGTTTTTTAGCCTCTGGCTCACACATTTCTGTCTTAGCTCAGGAAGAGTGGCTTCAGAGCAGAGTAATTTATGCAGTAGTCAAATTGCTCGCTCACAACTTTAATACCAGTAGCTCACAAAGTAGAATTTTTGCTCACAAGACTCCACAGCTTAGAGGGATCATTGCTTGTGACCAAAAATTCTACTTTGTGAGTGACTGGCATTAAAGTTGGGAGCCAGCGATTTGGCTGCTGCCTAAAATTAGTTTGCTCCAGAGCCCTCCTTCCTGAGCGGAGACAAAAAGGTGTGAGCCGGAGGTTAAAAACCTGTGACTCAGCTTAGAGGGAACACTGGTCGCGGGCACGCTCACAATTCTTCCATTTTGCAGGTGTGCAAACAGGACGAGTTCTTCAACCTCTCGCACTGCCAGCTGGTGACGCTGATCAGCCGGGACGAGCTGAACGTGCGGTGCGAGTCTGAGGTCTTCCACGCCTGCATCAACTGGGTGAAGTACGACTGCGAGAGCCGGCGCCTCTACGTCCAGGCCCTGCTGAAGGCGGTGCGCTGCCACTCCCTGACGCCACACTTCCTCCAGATGCAGCTCCAGAAGTGCGAGATCCTCCGCTCGGACTCGCGCTGCAAGGACTACCTGGCCAAGATCTTCCAGGACCTCACCCTGCACAAGCCCACCAAAGACGCCCCTTGCCGGGCGCCCAAGGTGGGCCAGCTGATCTACACCGCGGGGGGCTACTACCGCCAGTCCCTCAGCGACCTGGAGGCCTACAACCCCACCGACGGCTCCTGGATCCGGCTGGCGGACCTCCAGGTGCCACGCAGCGGCCTGGCCGGCTGCGTGGTGGGCGGGCTCTTCTACGCGGTGGGCGGGAGGAACAACTCCCAGGACGGCAACATGGACTCCAACGCCATTGACTGCTACAACCCCATGAACAACCAGTGGTCCCCCTGCGCCCCGATGAACGTGCCCCGGAACCGGATCGGCGTGGGGGTGATCGACGGCTTGATCTACGCAGTGGGTGGCTCTTACGGGTGCATTCATCATAACAGCGTGGAGAGGTGAGGGGGAGAAACCGTACGAGGGACGGACACAGAGCTTCCCGACTTGCGCCCCGAAACTCTACCCTTTGGGTGGGCTTATAGGGACCACCTTTTTGGCAAAGGCTGAATGACCAAAGTCCTTATGGTAGTTTCAGAGGGTAAACGTGTTGGTCTGCAGCAGTATGGTTTTGTCCGCTAACATGTTCGAGACCAACAAGATTTTGGAGGTATAAGCTTTCCAGAGCCAAAGCTTGTATCTGATGAAGGGAGCTAGATTCGAACCCAGCAGCGCCTTAGAGAACAACAAGATTTTCAGGGTGTGCGCTTCCAAGGGAAAGCATTTTGGTCTGCAGCGGTTTTCCCTCTAAGCTGAGTGAGTGTGAGCTAGCTCACGGTTTTTTAGCCTCCAGCTCACAGATTTTTGTCTTCGCTCAGGAAGGAGGGCTCCAGAGCAAAATTTTGGCTCACGAGACTACACAGCTTAGAGGGAGCATCGGTCTGCAGTACAACTGGTAAATTTCAGTCCAGAAGCACCTAAGAGACCTCCAAAGGAAGTTTAGAAAACTAGTAAAGGGCCAAATGTTTAAGACAACGTCAACAGGTATGGACAAAAATACACGGGTTTATTTCAAAAACATCTAAAATCCTTGTAGGGGCACAAGTAAAGCCTTGTAACAGAATCGCCAATGCTCCCTCTAAGCTGCAGTCTTGTGAGCAAAAATTCTACTTTGTGAGTGAATGGCATGAAAGCTGTGAGCGAGCAATTTGGCCGCCGTGTAGATTAGCTTGCTCTGGAGCCATCCTCCCTGAGCTGAGAAAAAAATCTGTGAGCTGGAGGCTAAAAGACTGTGAGCTGGCTCACACTCTCTCAGCTTAGAGGGAACACTGGTGACAACTGCACAAAAAGAGCCTTATATGACCTGAGACGTTTCAGCCCACGAGAGCCTTCTTCAGAGGTCAGATAGGTCGGAATACAACAGACAACATAGCCCCCGTTACACGTGTAAGGCAGTAAACCACTGATCGAGGACCGAAATTGGAATGTTCCAATCTGGAATTAAATGACACACAAAAATAATTTGTCTCTGGGGCTGCCAAAATACCTGGCCCTGTGTCAGAAGCAATTCCATATACTGGAGATAGTAATCGTGCCAATATGTGCCTTCCAGTTTAGGTCCTAAGCAATGCTCCCTCTAAGCTGTGGAGTCCTGTGAGCAAAAATTCTACTTGGTGAGCTACAGGCATTAAAGTTGTGAGCGAGCGATTTGGCCACTGCATAAACTAGCTTGCTCTGGAGCTGAGCTAAGAGAAAAATGTGTCAACCGGAGGCTAAAAAACTCTGAGCTGGCTCACACTCAATCAGCTTAGAGGGAACACTGGTCCTAAGAATACAAGTAAAACCGCCTTATCAGGGCCATCGATATGGTTTTTACTTTGGTTGGCTTAGTTTTCCTTCCCCGCTCTTTGTGGGGGCACCTTAGAGACCCACATGATTTTCAGGGTACGAGCTTCCGAGAGTCAAAGTTTCTATCTTGACGCAGGGAGCTGGGTTCGAATCCAGGAGCCCGTTAAGAGAGCAACAAGTTTTTTTCTGGGTAGGAGCTTTCGAGAGTCATGGCTCCCTTCGTCTGCCGAAGAGAGCTTTGGCTGTCAAACTCGTACTCCAAAAATCTTGTCGGCCTCTCTGGCGCTATCGGACTCAACTCTGAGGTTCATAAGGGGATCCTAGGACAGTGCTCTGTGTTACTCCAAAGATACTTTCGGGATGGGTGGTGGACGATTCTGTGTCGTGGGGAGGGAGAACTGGAAAAGCTCCTTGCCTTGGAGAAGAAGAAGAAGATGGGATTTATACCCCGCCCTTCTTACCCAAAGGAGTCTCAGAGCGGCTTACAAACTCCTTTCCCTTCCCCTTCCCCTCCCCACAACACACACCCTGTGAGGTAAAAAAAGAAGAAGAGATTGGATTTATACCCCATGGCCCTTCACTACCCAAAGGAGTCTCAGAGCGGCTCACAAACTTCTTTCCCTTCCCCTCCCCATAACAGACACCCTGTGAGGTAAAAAAAGAAGAGATTGGATTTATACCCCGCCCTTCACTACCCAAAGGAGTCTCAGAGCGGCTTACAAACTCATTTCCCTTCCCCTCCCCACGACAGACACCCTGGGAGGTAAAAGAAGAAGAAGACGACATTGGATTTATACCCCGCCCTTCACTACCCAAAGGAGTCTCAGAGCGGCTTACAAACTCCTTTCCCTTCCCCTCCCCACAACAGACACCCTGTGAGGTAAAAGATGAAGAAGAAGAGATTGGATTTATACCCTGCCCTTCACTACCCAAAGGAGTCTCAGAGCGGCTCACAAACTCCCTTCACTTCCCCTCCCCACAACAGACACCCTGTGAGGTAAAAGAAGACGAAGAGATTGGATTTATACCCCGCCCTTCACTCCCCAAAGGAGTCTCAGAGCTGCCTACAAACTCCCTTCCCTTCCCCTCCCCACAACAGACACCCTGTGAGGTAGGAGGGGCTGAGAGAGCTCTGACAGAAACGGCTCTTTTTCAAGGACTGCTCTTATCAGAACTACAGCTTGCCCAAGGTCATCCAGCATGTGCAAGTGGAGGGGGGGAATCAAACCCATTTCTCCCAGATTAGAGTCTGTGCTCTTAACCACTATGCCAAACCGGCCCTCATTCAACTGGCTTAGTCATCTGAACGCCTTCTTGAAGATCCACAACACTCGAGAGTAAGAAGAGGAAAGGGAACTTGTTTGCAGGGAAGGAAAGGGGAAAACAGGATCATGGCTTGGAAGCCGCTAATGGGGGGGGGAGCGAATGTGCTCCCCCCAGAACTGGAGGGAGGGCAATGTGGCCAGATTCCTTGTTTCCTAAATAGGGCACCCAGACCTGCACGTTATGCAAATCCAGCCCGTGAACTCTTTGTACAGTTTGCCAGTTGCTTTGCGTCATTTTCCAGCGAGAACCGGAGAAAGTTGGAGGGGGGGTCGGGGGAAGCATCTTCCATCTCCTAGTGTCCTCTCTGGAGTCCGGGAGAGACGGGGGAGGGCCCACGCCCCTCTTAGCTGCGACTTCTCCCCCGGGCAAAAACCAGCGGAAGAGGGGAACGGGCGGATTTTTCACTAAACAATGGGGCGGGATACGGCCTGCCCGTTTTGCCTGGTTCCTCTGGATCTACCTAAGGGCCGGTGACTAAGAGCCAGTTTGGTGTAGTGGTTAAGTGCGCGGATCTGGGAGAACCGGGTTCGATTCCCCACTCCGCCACTTGCACCTGGCTGGATGACCTTGGGCAAGCCGTAGTTCTGACGAGCTGTCCTTGAAAAAGAGCAGTTTCTGTCAGAGCTCTCTCAGCCCCACCGACCTCACAGGGTGCCTGTTGTGGGGAGGGGAAGGGAAAGGAGTTTGTCAGCCGCTCTGAGACTCCTCTGGGTAGTGAAGGGCGGGGTATAAATCCAATCTCTTCTTCTTCTTCTACCTCCCAGGGTGTCTGTTGTGGGGAGGGGAAGGGAAAGGAGTTTGTCAGCCGCTCTGAGACTCCTCTGGGTAGTGAAGGGCGGGGTATAAATCCAATCTCTTCTTCTTCTTCTACCTCCCAGGGTGTCTGTTGTGGGGAGGGGAAGGGAAAGGAGTTTGTCAGCCGCTCTGAGACTCCTCTGGGTAGTGAAGGGCGGGGTATAAATCCAATCTCTTCTTCTTCTTCTACCTCCCAGGGTGTCTGTTGTGGGGAGGGGAAGGGAAAGGAGTTTGTCAGCCGCTCTGAGACTCCTCTGGGTAGTGAAGGGCGGGGTATAAATCCAATCTCTTCTTCTTCTTCTACCTCCCAGGGTGTCTGTTGTGGGGAGGGGAAGGGAAAGGAGTTTGTCAGCCGCTCTGAGACTCCTCTGGGTAGTGAAGGGCGGGGTATAAATCCAATCTCTTCTTCTTCTTCTACCTCCCAGGGTGTCTGTTGTGGGGAGGGGAAGGGAAAGGAGTTTGTCAGCCGCTCTGAGACTCCTCTGGGTAGTGAAGGGCGGGGTATAAATCCAATCTCTTCTTCTTCTTCTACCTCCCAGGGTGTCTGTTGTGGGGAGGGGAAGGGAAAGGAGTTTGTCAGCCGCTCTGAGACTCCTCTGGGTAGTGAAGGGCGGGGTATAAATCCAATCTCTTCTTCTTCTTCTACCTCCCAGGGTGTCTGTTGTGGGGAGGGGAAGGGAAAGGAGTTTGTCAGCCGCTCTGAGACTCCTCTGGGTAGTGAAGGGCGGGGTATAAATCCAATCTCTTCTTCTTCTTCTACCTCCCAGGGTGTCTGTTGTGGGGAGGGGAAGGGAAAGGAGTTTGTCAGCCGCTCTGAGACTCCTCTGGGTAGTGAAGGGCGGGGTATAAATCCAATCTCTTCTTCTTCTTCTACCTCCCAGGGTGTCTGTTGTGGGGAGGGGAAGGGAAAGGAGTTTGTCAGCCGCTCTGAGACTCCTCTGGGTAGTGAAGGGCGGGGTATAAATCCAATCTCTTCTTCTTCTTCTACCTCCCAGGGTGTCTGTTGTGGGGAGGGGAAGGGAAAGGAGTTTGTCAGCCGCTCTGAGACTCCTCTGGGTAGTGAAGGGCGGGGTATAAATCCAATCTCTTCTTCTTCTTCTACCTCCCAGGGTGTCTGTTGTGGGGAGGGGAAGGGAAAGGAGTTTGTCAGCCGCTCTGAGACTCCTCTGGGTAGTGAAGGGCGGGGTATAAATCCAATCTCTTCTTCTTCTTCTACCTCCCAGGGTGTCTGTTGTGGGGAGGGGAAGGGAAAGGAGTTTGTCAGCCGCTCTGAGACTCCTCTGGGTAGTGAAGGGCGGGGTATAAATCCAATCTCTTCTTCTTAATCTTAAAGCAAAAAAGTGATCATTGACAGTTGCGATGCATTCTTGTGACTGTGTCCTAGAGAACATATCGGAGGCAGGAAGCCCATGAACGGGGTTCAGCCAATTCCCTTTAGCTTTCTGAGCCTGTGGGTGCCTTTGGAATTCTGAGGTTCCTCTGTGGAACAGGGCTTCCTCGGGAGGTGGCGGGCTCTCTCCTCCTAGGGAGGTTTACAAGCAGAGGCTGGATGGCCCCTCTGACAGCCATGCGGATTCTGTGAACTTAGGCAGTTAAGAAGAGGGGAGGGCAGGAAGGGTTGCCTCATGGCTCAGTTTTCGTGGCCCTTCCTTACACACCCAGGGAAATGCCGATCGCCACTTTGGGGTCAGGGAGCCATTTTTCTCCAGGCTGCTTATCCTGGAGATGGTTTTTTTTTTGGTCATCTTCTGGGCATGGAACAGCGGCCACTGCGGGCGTGGAGGGGGAGGTATTTTTGAATTCCCTGCCTTGTGCAGGGGGTTGGACAATGTGACCGCGGAGGTCCCTTCCAACTCTATGATTCCGCAACCACAAAATGGCCACCACGGGAGGCCGAAGCGATCACTAAATGGCCCCCACCCAAGGCAGAGGCAGCTACAAAAATGTCAGAGTGATATGTAACTTTAACAGTTAACTCCTCAACATTTCTGTCATTTCTGCCATTCCTTGTTTCATCTGCACATCCAGTCAGAAGCCCCACTGGGCAAAAAGCTCCACCCGGCCGTACCCGTCTGACCCTCCCAGGCAGGGGTCATTTTGTAGAAAAAGAGGTGCAGGAGCTCATTAGCCTAACTTATTTGTATATGCCACACACCCCTGACATCACCGGAAGTGTGTCAGAAGGCAACACCCACCGCTCAGGCTCCACTGGACGGTTTTGGATTGCTAGCTATGGGGGATGGGGGGACGTGCAGATCTGTCCTCACAGAGGAGGGAGAGCTTGTACCTGAAGGCGGGCCGGGGGGGGGCTCTGCAACTTACCTGGCTGCTTCTTGCTCCTCGTGGCCCGACCGAGGGGGGCGGGGCTTGTTGCATGTGCGCTCCTGCAGGAAATGACCCCTGTTCCCAGGGCCTAAAGAAGCCAGGTTAGCCGTGATGAAGGCCAGGGCCTTTTCAGTGGCGGCCCCTTACTGGTAGAATGAGCTCCCAGAAGACATCAGGGCCCTGCGGGAGCTTTTACAGTTCCGCCGGGCCTGCGAAACAGAGCTCTTCCACCAGGCCTTCGATGAGGGGCCGCCTCTTAACGTCGAGGCCCCGGCCCTCCAACATCCGCACCAGCTTAATATCTTACAGGCCTGGCAAGAACCCAGACTGTGGTGGCCATTTGACTGTCTAGATGCGGAGACAAGGCCACCCCCCTTCATTCGTATTACGTTTGCTAGCCCTGGTTTGCACGTGTTCTGCTTTTAACTCTATTACCGTTTGAATGCATCTCGCTGTTTGAACATATTTCTATTCATCCATGTGCTGTAAGCCGCCCTGAGCCTGCCTGGCAGTGAGGGCGGGATACTAATTAATCGATTAATTAATTAAACGCTTTTGTGATGGTATGGTTGCTCTTTCCTTCCCTTCCAGGTACGACCCGGAGCGCGACGAATGGCAGTTGGTGGCCCCCATGCGAACGCGCCGGATCGGCGTCGGGGTGGCCGTACTGAACCGGCTCTTGTACGCGGTGGGCGGCTACGACGGCTCGTGCCGCCTCAGCTCGGCAGAGTGCTACTACCCCGAGCGGGACGAGTGGGAGACGATCACTCCGATGAGGAGCATCCGTAGCGGAGCAGGTGAGTGGCGGCGGGGGGCGTGGCCTCGCAGCCGAGGGGCTGGCCTTCTCTTCTGGCAGCGGCCGTCCCTTCCGGTTGCGCAGCGATCGGAGGGCGCCTAGCTGGCACTCTCTCTCCCGGGTCCGGGCCACATCTGTGGCCTGTGCTGAGAGGAAACTGTTGGGATTCAGCTTTTGTGCAGCCATGTAGAGAGCCAGTTTGGTGGAGTGGCGAGGAGCGCGGACTCTAATCTGGGAGAGCCGGGTTTGATCCACCACTCCTCCCCATGCAGCTGCTGGTGTGACCTTGGGTCAGTCACAAGTTCTCTCAGATCTGTCCTCTCAGGAGCAGTCCTCAAGAGAGAGCTCTCTCAGCCCCACCTGCCTCACAGAGTGTCTGTTGTGGGGAGGGGAAGGCGATCGTAAGCCGCTCTGAGACTCCTTCGGGTAGTGAAGGGTGGGGTATAAATCCAATGTCTTCTTCGTCTTCTAAAAGGCCACCTGTTAAACCTAGCGTCTGCCTGAAATGCTGGAGAGTTACTATGAGAGTTACATATAATCTTGCTTGTTGACATTTTGTGGCTGGCTCCGCCCACCGCAGCAGCCATTTTGTGGCTGGCTCCACCCACCGCGGCAGCCATTTTGTGGCCGTGCCCACCAATGCTCCCTCTAAGCTGTGGAGTCTTGTGAGCATGAATTCTACTTTGTGAGCGACTTGAATTAAAGTTGTGAGTGAGCAATTTGGCCAGTGCATAAACTAGTTTCCTCTAGAGCCCTCCTTCCTGAGCCAAGACCAAGATGGGTGAGCCGGAGGCTAAAAAACTGTGGGCTAGCTCACAGTAGCTCAGCTTAGACGGAACACTGGTGCCCCACTCCCTAGTGCGAGGATTCCAGAGGTGGCCGTAGGCTGCAACAGCGTGGGGACTCCTGCCGTAGAGACACCAGCCCGAGTGTAACAACGCCACCTTGTTCCCCGCAGGGGTTTGCGCCCTGGACAACTGCGTCTACGCGATGGGAGGCTACGACGGCACGGACCAGCTGAACAGCATGGAGCGTTACGACGTGGAGAAGAGCACCTGGTCGTACGTGGCACCCATGATCCACCGACGGAGCGCGCTGGGGGTCACGGTGCACCAAGGCAAAATTTACGTGCTGGGTAAGGCCGGGGGCGGGGTGGGCAGGGAGGGCCGGGATCTCTCCGCCAGAAGAGGCGGTGGCCAAACCAGCTCGTTGGAAGCTGACTTTAGGCCTCGACGTGTGTCATGCTTGTAGAGGGGTGTGTGGGAGGGTGCTGGTTACACACACACACACACAACCGTGCTTGCAACTGAGCATGCTGAACCCTGCCCCTTCCCCCTCCCCAGCTTAAACTTCCACTGCACATGGGCAGAGTGCACACCATATATACAAGCTGTGTGCTTTCCCTCTGACCAGGACTGTTGGGAGGGAGTGAGGGGTTTCTCATCAGATGGACAAACTTAGAATTCGAGAGTTGGATGGGACCGCCAGGGTCATCTAGTCCAACCCCCTGCACAATGCAGGAAATTCACCGATACCTCACACACACACACACCAGTGATTCCTGTTCCACGCCCTGAAGATGGCAGAAAACCTCCAGGATCCCCGGTCAAACTGGCCTGGAGAAAAATGGCTTCCTGACCCCAAAGTGGCGATCGGCATTTCCCTGGGCGTGGAAGGAAGGGTCATGAGAACTTAAGCCCTGAGGCAACCCTCCCTGCCCTCCCTTCTCGTGATCTGCCTCAGTTCTCAGGATCAGCATCGCTGCCAGAGGGCCACCTAGCCTCTGTTTGAAAACAGAAAACTGTTTGAAAACCTCCAAAGGATGGTTAGACAGTGTCATAGATGCAACGAACATGAAGTTGAGCCAACTTCAGAGGACGGCGGAAGACCGGAAGGCCTGGCATGATCTGGTCCATGGGGTCGCGGAGAGTCGGACTCAACTGTGCGACTGAACAACAAAGGAGGAGCGCCCACTGTCAGCATTGTCAGGAACTCTCAGACGCAATAATTCCTTTAACAGGCTTTATTGAGAAATCAGGAAAGTTGCTGTAAAGTCAAACTCTTTGGCAGAACTGAGTAATATCTCAAAGTTGGGAATGACAAGACCTTCGGCCCAACCCTCATTCATACGTCAGGATTACATAGTGCATAGACGGGTTAATACAGGACAACCAGGAGGGTGTGGATGTTATCATTTCATGTCCCCCC